TATACAGTGTTCTTTACCTACATTTGAACAGCAAGAACCATTCTTCATAACGCTCATGTCTCCACTAGTTCAAATTACTTCATATAAAGATGACTGTACTTGTATTAATTTATAACTCCCTGGACGTTTTTAATATATATCTCACACACACACACACACACACACACACACACACACGAGGTAGGGGCCTCGTAGCCTGGTGGATAGCGCGCAGGATTCGTAATTCTGTGGTGCGGGTTCGATTCCCGCACGAGGCAGAAACAAATGGGCAAAGTTTCTTTCACCCTGAATGCCCCTGTTACCTAGCAGTAAACAGGTACCTGGGAGTTAGTCAGCCGTCACGGGCTGCTTCCTGGGGTGTGTGTGTGTGTGAAAAAAAAAAAGTAGTTAGTAAACAGTTGATTTACAGTTGAGAGGCGGGCCGAAAGAGCAAAGTTCAACCCCCGTAAAAACACAACTAGTAAACACACACACACACAGACCTGCACTTACTCACTATACACACACCCTGGCCTACACTCACTATACACACACCCTGGCCTACACTCACTATACACACACCCTGGCCTACACTCACTATAAACACACACCCTGGCCTACACTCACTATAAACACACACCCTGGCCTACACTCACTATAAACACACACCCTGGCCAACACTCACTATACACACACACCCTGGCCTACACTCACTATACACACACCCTGGCCTACACTCACTATAAACACACACCCTGGCCTACACTCACTGTACACACACCCTGGCCTACACTCACTGTACACACACCCTGGCCTACACTCACTGTACACACACCCTGGCCTACACTCACTGTACACACACACTGGCCTACACTCACTATAAACACACACCCTGGCCTACACTCACTATAAACACACACCCTGGCCTACACTCACTATAAACACACACCCTGGCCTACACTCACTGTACACACACCCTGGCTTACACTCACTATAAACACACACCCTGGCCTACACTCACTATAAACACACACCCTGGCCTACACTCACTGTACACACACCCTGGCCTACACTCACTATAAACACACACCCTGGCCTACACTCACTATACACACACACCCTGGCCTACACTCACTATAAACACACACCCTGGCCTACACTCACTATACACACATACCCTGGCCTACACTCACTATACACACACACCCTGGCCTACACTCACTATAAACACACACCCTGGCCTACACTCACTATACACACACACCCTGGCCTACACTCACTATACACACACACCCTGGCCTACACTCACTATACACACACACCCTGGCCTACACTCACTGTACACACACCCTGGCCTACACTCACTATACACACACACCCTGGCCTACACTCACTATAAACACACACCCTGGCCTACACTCACTATAAACACACACCCTGGCCTACACTCACTATAAACACACACCCTGGCCTACACTCACTATACACACACACCCTGGCCTACACTCACTATACACACACACCCTGGCCTACACTCACTATAAACACACACCCTGGCCTACACTCACTATACACACACACCCTGGCCTACACTCACTATACACACACACCCTGGCCTACACTCACTATTCACACACACCCTGGCCTACACTCACTATACACACACACCCTGGCCTACACTCACTATACACACACACCCTGGCCTACACTCACTGTACACACACCCTGGCCTACACTCACTATAAACACACACCCTGGCCTACACTCACTATACACACACACCCTGGCCTACACTCACTATACACACACACCCTGGCCTACACTCACTATAAACACACACCCTGGCCTACACTCACTATACACACACACCCTGGCCTACACTCACTATACACACACACCCTGGCCTACACTCACTATACACACACACCCTGGCCTACACTCACTATACACACACACCCTGGCCTACACTCACTATAAACACACACCCTGGCCTACACTCACTATAAACACACACCCTGGCCTACACTCACTGTACACACACACCCTGGCCTACACTCACTATAAACACACACCCTGGCCTACACTCACTATAAACACACACCCTGGCCTACACTCACTATAAAAACACACCCTGGCCTACACTCACTATAAACACACACCCTGGCCTACAATCACTATAAACACACACCCTGGCCTACACTCACTGTACACACACCCTGGCCTACACTCACTATACACACACACCCTGGCCTACACACACCCTGGCCTACACTCACTGTACACACACCCTGGCCTACACTCACTGTACATACACTCTGGCCTACACTCACTATAAACACACACCCTGGCCTACAATCACTATACACACACACCCTGGCCTACAATCACTATACACACACACCCTTGCCTACAATCACTATAAACACACACCCTGGCCTACACACACCCTGGCCTACACTCACTGTACATACACTCTGGCCTACACTCACTATAAACACACACCCTGGCCTACACTCACTGTACACACACCCTGGCCTACACTCACTGTACACACACTCTGGCCTACACTCACTATAAACACACACCCTGGCCTACACTCACTATAAACACACACCCTGGCCTACATTCACTGTACATACACTCTGGCCTACACTCACTATAAACACACACCCTGGCCTACACTCACTATACACACACACCCTGGCCTACAATCACTATAAACACACACCCTGGCCTACACACACCCTGGCCTACACTCACTGTACATACACTCTGGCCTACACTCACTATAAACACACACCCTGGCCTACACTCACTATAAACACACACCCTGGCCTACACTCACTATAAACACACACCCTGGCCTACACTCACTGTACATACACTCTGGCCTACACTCACTATAAACACACACCCTGGCCTACACTCACTGTACACACACCCTGGCCTACACTCACTGTACACACACCCTGGCCTACACTCACTATAAACACACACCCTGGCCTACATTCACTGTACATACACTCTGGCCTACACTCACTATAAACACACACCCTGGCCTACACTCACTATACACACACACCCTGGCCTACAATCACTATAAACACACACCCTGGCCTACACACACCCTGGCCTACACTCACTGTACATACACTCTGGCCTACACTCACTATAAACACACACCCTGGCCTACACTCACTATAAACACACACCCTGGCCTACACTCACTATAAACACACACCCTGGCCTACACTCACTATAAACACACACCCTGGCCTACACTCACTATAAACACACACCCTGGCCTACACTCACTATAAACACACACCCTGGCCTACACTCACTGTACACACACCCTGGCCTACACTCACTGTACACACACCCTGGCCTACACTCACTGTACATACACCCTGGCCTACACTCACTATAAACACACACCCTGGCCTACACTCACTATAAACACACACCCTGGCCTACACTCACTGTACACACACCCTGGCCTACACTCACTATAAACACACACCCTGGCCTACATGCAAGATGTCCCTGACCACAGCACCGAGGCTTCCGTTCTACTTTTATTTTGCACTGGTCACAACCTATGTCCTCGTACTGATGCACATTAGGTGAGTTGTGTGTGAGCTGATGACGTGTACGTTGCGGGTGTGTGCTGACGCTGTTGCACACACACACGTGGTGTGAGTGCTGGCGTTGTACATAGGCAAGTGGCGTGTGAGGCGATAAAGATGCAGTCATGTGTGTACTGACGCTGCTGTACATGTACACGCCGTGTGTACACTATGTTGTAACATCGGGTTAATTTATCCAGTCATCTACTAATCACTAATATCATAAAATCCTTCATTGATTTATTTTCTGTCTTTAGCTTAACTAGTTCTCATATATCACTTATACTTCTGCTTCCTCCTCCCGCCAAAAACTGGCGGGAGGCCTCCACTGGCCGCAGTGGAGGACGGGACGACACAATAAAAATCGATAATAAATCAAGTCAATACCAGCCAGTCATGAGTGTTTGTTATTCAATTTGGGGAATAACGGAAACATAAATAAAGTGTGATATTTATGTCAAAGAAGAATCAGTCACATATATAATCCCCATCGTCGGGAACACGAGGGCTCCCTTCGCCAGCTACTGACTAGAGGCATAAAGTGGAAGGAGAGTGCACAACCGTTTCTCTCCTGCCAGTGGATTGAACCAGTAGTCTACTTTACTTAGTAGAAGGCAGTTCTATGATGACAAAGGCCACTACAGTCTGGTCAGAATACAGGAGTCCCTGCGAAGGGCTACGAGACAGTTTACATGGCCACCTTATGCTCTGAGTCCACACACACTCCCCACTCCTGTCTCTTGGTGGAAAACACGCGTCTCAGTACCAAGGAGAGAAAGACACTCCGCCTGAGCCACCGGCCTGTTTCACACACTCAGACATTTTTATTTTTCGACGTCTCGGCTCCCAAGTCCCAACTCACTCGGTTTAGTTCCAGGATGTAAAAATATCGAGAGATTGCCGGAGCCCACATAAAAGGGGCCGAGTGTGTGTGTGCTCACATATGTGCCTTCAGGACGAACATTGGTTCCTGGGTCCCTCCCTTCATTTGACAGTCAGACATTGCAATGGATCTCATCCCTTTTAATTATTGTATCACATTTACGTTTAAAACTGTATATAGAAATGAGACACGAGTATCTCGAGAATATAAAATAAATGAGACAGATGTGACGACTTATAGTGAATTTTGTAACTAGCTCATCAAGATTGTAACTTGTTTCTCTAAATGAATTGTGGAGTTCAGTCCCTGAGCCCATTATGTGCCTCTGTAACCCTTTCCACTACCGCCGCCCACAAGATGGGTATGGGGTGCATAATAAATGAACTAAACTAACGGGTTTCTTGAGGAAATTAATGAAGATGCAAGAATCGAGTACATTAGTTACTCTGGTCGTCCATCTAATCCCACTACAGGCAGGGCCGGAGCAGCATACACTGTAGTTAGGAACAATGTCTTTCAAAACTAAAATGAAGGAAAAGCACGGATCGAGACCTATGGTTCAACACAAGCAGAACTCTCTGCCGTTGTTAAGACATGAAGACGCCTCAGAGAAACACAAGGGAAGCAGTGATCCCCACCGACTCAAAAGCAGCATTACAAAACCTTTAAATATCAGGCAGAAAAAAACAAAAGGACGACAATCACTGAAATCAAGAGCGCTGTGAAAATACTAACCAGTCAGTGAAGGATGATCAGGTCCCTGTGGATATCCTCTCAAAGAAATGAACGAGCTGATATGTTCGCGTCGCGCATGTCGATGACTGATGTGAGGTTGTTAGACCATACAGATGGTTGGGTGTACTCTGACCTGGCGTATGATATCAACCCGTTCTCGCAAATTTAATAAGTCAATATTGACTTATTAAATATGTGCATAGGTGACATACTTAACATAATAGTTTCTCTTGAAAAGCTTCATAGAAAACACCGACCTTACCTAACCTACTTAGTATGTTAAAATAAGCATCTTATAGCTTCGTAACTACAATTGTTACTTAACCTATTATAGGTATAGGTTATAGGTATAGGTTAGTTTCAAGGGAAACTATTATGTTAAGTATGTCACCTATGCACATATTTAATAAGTCAATATTGACTTATTAAATTTGCGAGAACGGGTTGTATGATAGCAGCCTACTGCGTCACTATTAGCGCATGCGCCCTCAAACTGCGCATCTTTCTCATTATAAATATATTGATGATCTTATATTTAATGCAACACTGATGATATCAATGATTTTTATATTTTGTTATACGCGAATATGTGTTAGTACGCGCTTTCGTTTTTTTCTTTCAGTCAGGACCACATCTACAGAGTTCAGGAGCCTGAGACTGACGGTAGGTTCAATTTATTTACTGTGAAGATAGTATACCGAGCAGGGGTGCGGCCTTATACTATACACAGCAGGGGGATACCTCAGAGTATACCCAGCAGGGGGGGGGAAAGACCTCAGTATACCCAGCAGGGGGCAAAAACCTCATAGTATACCCCTAACCTTCGTTAAACGTTCTCTAACAAAAGAATGAAACTTTTGCAGGCCTACTGGGCCATACGAGGCAGGACCCATTTATACCTACCCAAACTCATTCATATACGTGTCTAACCAACGCTCGAAACAATCCAGCAATCCCACGTCTATTATGTCACCCTGTAATCTGTTACACAAACTCATCAACAATATTTCTAAACCAGTATTTACCCAGGTCTTCCCTGAATCCAAACTTATCCAATTGATAGCCATTGTTTCGTGTTCTATTTTGTGTCGACATTTAACACCTTATTGGTATCCCCCTTGTTATTAATAATCCTCTTGTTATACCCTTTCATACACATGTACACTTACTGATGGCCAGTCCACCGGACTCGACAACCACTTATGTAACATCTTAGCCTTAACATTTGCTCTTAATACTGGTGCGTCTTCTACTTATGTATTGATAAAGTAGTTTTTGCTTATGATCATGAAGGTAGTAACGTTAATGTCCACAGTATCGGAGGTGGAGAGAGAGAGGTGCGGCAAGAGGTGTCCCGTGGTGGGCCTGGAGACCATCGAGCAGTATAGAGCCTATCTCCACCACACAGAGACTAACTGCTCGACTCTAGTAAGTCTCCCATACTTGTTCGATGTTTTTTGTTGTGTCCTCGTGCTGTTGTGTGCAGTGTGTAACTCGACATTTGGGCGCCTGCTCTTTGTTTTTTGTTTATTTCAACATAGTCCCATGATGTCACCCTTGGCATTCAACAGTGTATTATTTAGTCAACATTGTTAGTGTTTACACCATCCATACACCGGGATCATCCCGGGCTTAAGTTCGAACCCTCATCACGGCCATTGTGGATTTGTTCATAGTGCTTACACTCCTAGGCTGAAAATTACCGGTGATTAATTTAAATAATCGAGGGCGGGACAGAAATAGTTGGGCATATTTCAAATCACCTAATGCGCCTGTTCACCTAACAGTAAGTAGATACTTAGAAGTTAGTCAGCTTGTTGTGGGGTTACATCCTGGGCGGGGTCAGTAATTCGACCTTGGGGGGGGGACCTCGATATAAGCCTAACGTGTATGAATACACTCTGGCTGCCTGTCCCCCGACGCAATGAATTATTATTATATTTTTTTCCATCGTGACAACGGAGAATTTCATATGACCTAATTAATAAACATCATCTGGTGCAGACACGTTACATTAATTTGTAACATTTTATCATGTGAAATATTAGCTTGAAGTACTCGCTATATTTTCTGAAGCACCAGAATGCTCATTTATTGTCATATTTAAATGCAAGTTATAGCGAGTTAGCGGTGATATCGGGCAGCTTGTGGGACTGATTGTACCCGTGTAACACAGCTGTGGGACTGATTGTACCCGTGTAACACAGCGGTGATGCTGATTGTTCAAGTTTTATGTTCCCAGGTACAGTTTGGGGGCTGGGTACCCGCTCCCGGTGACGGAGCCAAATATGTGTGTCTGGACAAGAGGTTCAACATTAAGCCCGGCAACTGTACCATCTTCTCCTTCGGTGTCAACAACGAGTGGTCCTTTGAGGACGATTTTGCCATATACGGCTGCAAGGTGAAGGTTGATGACGGTTATATCTAAAGTGTTACATTGTTTTATTTGCATAAAGTAATGATGACTCAAGTTGGTGCTAGGTATGAATTACTAGTATTTTCTGAAAGGTTAGTAGGGAGGAGGAGCTAGGTAGAAACCTAGCTTGATAGAAATTTATTCGACTATGCCATCCAGCTCCTGCCTCTACTGCACCTCACGCCCTTCACACTGGTTACCTATGACATCAGGTTAATGTTAACATTAACTTTTAAAAAATGTCTATAATGTAAACACACTTGTGAGAAATTAAGTCAGTTATTAACCCTTTAATGATTCTTGGGTGGAATATTTTCATGTCCATCAACGTCACTCGCTCTGTCATAACCACAAAAAACTAACTTATTTTATATTGTTAGAAGCATCGATTATAGCCTACAAATATTCGGAAATTAATAAAATGAATAACCAATGTAGAGTGTCTCGCTAGCATTACGCGTCTTTCCCGAGCGTGGAAACTATTTGGAGCTATTTGACAAACTAGCTAGCCTAACATATTTGATCGATGGTAGCCTTCCGTTGCAACCCATCCTCCGAATTGACAGTACGATTTAATACTAAGTGTAATAAGTACACTTTCTTACTGTCATAAACAGTGCATAATTGCACTTAGGGGGCTGTTACATTTACCCAACTCCCTCCCCCGATTTAATTATCCTCGTTTTCTGTTAAGCCACTCAGAATTTTAGGACGAAGATTTCATCTTCAATTGGCTATACACAAGTTTTAAATATCAGGAATTTCTTTTTCAGGTTTATTAAACAACATAGATTTTATGCAAAATTTTAAAATATCCTGAGTTAATTTACAATTTATTGATATATTTTAGTTTTGTTTTATTAGTTTTATAAAACTGTAATATCAATATAGCTATAAGTTAAGTACTAATTGTAATTAGGAAGCAATAAAATTATTATCTTCAAAAACTAAGACGGTTAGGTGAGGTTGTGGTTTTCTATTCAGTTTTTCAGGTAAACTCAAATATTCACAATATATTTGACAGTACGATTTAATACTAAGTGAAAATAAGTACAATTCCTAACTGCTATGAATAGTACATAATTGCACTTATTTGTCTTCTTACATTTACCACCCCATTTTTGGAGGACGGGCTGTCCATTTAGGGTTGACAGGTTTACCGACTTTTTTGTGGGGGTTGACAGGTGTACGCATTCGACCCCACCATGGGTAAGGAGGATCACCAACGGTCCGCCAACGTTCGCTTCCAGGCCGTGGGCATCGCTAACTACAAGGGTACAAAGAAGATTGGTATGGACTTCAGTTACGCTATTCAAAAGGTGAGTTGAACTCTTGATTTACTTAACTCACTAGCAATATTCATGATTAAAATTACATATTTTTAAAGGGCAGGATAACTATGGGAAGAAATTGCTAGTTAAATGTAATCAATATAACGAGGATGATTTATTAAGATCTGAAGAGATAAATAAATTTTGCCATTCATTTTTTTTAAATATGAAGCAGATTTCTTGATTCATCTATCATTTTGGTCCTATAATTAACAGTATCGGTACAACTGTGAGATGCATGAAAATTATTCTAGAGTAATGGCTACTATGTATGCCTCTAATTCCTTACCCTAAACTTCTCTTGTTAATCCCATTCCTTACCTTCCTCGCCCCCTGTCCCACATATCCACGCTGCTAAAGATTACCGGCACAAAAAGAATAACTCTCGTGCCAAAACTTCGGAGTGTACCTGACCAGCACCGTGCTGGCAATGAGCACCGACCAGGGTGAAGATGGCAACCCGTCCTCGACTCAAGTCCATTACATTCAGCGGTCAACCCCACAGACGCATTCATATATTTTAACATACTGTTATTCAAAACGGGAATTTTCTCAAGTATAAATTAATATTATAATATATTAGCATATTGTGTATAAATAGGCATAGGTTAGGTTAGGTTAGGTGTTTAGGTTCTGTTGGTGATTATTTGTATTTGTAGTACGTGGGTGAAGCATTTACAGCGTTGTGGTTCGAACAAAATTCGTCAGTGAAGCACTTGTTCCGGATATGTTCGAACGTCAGCAGTTGTGAGTCGTGTGTAAACCGCTTTTCATTCATAAACAGGGGGTTTGGTGGGTGCATGGAATCACTTTTGGATCTTTGTTTGGAGGACGGGCTGGAAGATGGTGTGTGGTGGCTTCGCCCAATCCGTCCTCCACTCTAGTCCATTACATCCAGCGGTCGACCCCACGGACGCATTCATAAAATTTAACATGCTGTTCATTCAAAACGGGAATTTTCTCAAACATAAATTAATATTATAACATATTAGCATATTGTGCATATATAGGCATAGGTTACGTTAGGTGTTTAGGTTCTGTTGGCGATTATTTGTATTTGTAGTACGTGTATGAAGCATTTACAGCGTTGTGGTTCGAACAAAATTCGTCAGTGAAGCACTTGTTCCGGAAGTGTTCGAATGAAATCAGTTGTGAGTCGTGTGTAAACGGTTTTTCATTCATAAACAGGGGGTTTGACGGGTGCATGGAATCTCTTTTGGGTCTTTGTTTGGAGGACGGGCTGCTTTACCTGAGACTTGCTCAACAAACTAGGATTTGATGTCAGGATTTATTCAGATTTCCATTACAAAAGCTTCGAGATCCTGGATAATCAACTAGTATTTCAAAGTAAAATAATATTTAACTTTCTCGGCCACAGGCGGTTCGCACAGAGAACTTAGTGAGCCAAGCGTTACTTGTATTAAAGGATTATTCCGCCATCTCTTCTCAGGTAGATCGCTTCGAGAACTTGGTGAACCAGCTGGGACTCGCGGGTCAGGTGATCGACTACGTGAAGCTGGACGTGGAGCTGTCGGAGGTGGACTTCCTGCAGGATATGCTCCTTAACTCTCCACACGTCCTCAGGAACATCAAGCAGATCGCTATGGAAGTTCATGATGACTATTTCGAAGGTTAGATTTCTTAATTTTGCACATGTGCCGCATTTTATTGATACTAATCAAGATCTTGCAACAGGTAATGTTATTCATATAAAACGTGTAAATTACATATACACCTATAACGTGAGTGCTGCAATTATTAAATTTAGTTTAACCAAGAGTTTTACAAAATGTCATTTTAAGAGATACATTTATTAAGATGTGTTTGGCAAGTGAGCTTGTCTGAACTTGTCACCGTTATCAGTGTTCCCTACTTAAGTCTTTCCCGTCAAGCCCGAGGGCGACAACCCTACACACTTGCTATATTAACTTTATTATGCTACACTGTAAATGATTTGACTACAGACCGAATTTGTCTACAAATATTTAGGTACACTTTTAGGGTCTGCATTGTGTTGGTGGCGACGGAGAGTCGGCAGGGTAGTTATCTTGAGATGATTTCGGGGCTTTTTAGTGTCTCCGCGGCCCGGTCCTCGACCAGGCCTCCACCCCCAGGAAGCAGCCCATGGCAGCTGACTAACACCCAGGTACCTATTTTACTGCTAAGTAACAGGGGCATAGGGTGAAAGAAACTCTGCCCAATGTTTCTCGCCGGCGCCTGGGATCGAACCCAGGACCACAGGATCACAAGTCCAGCGTGCTGTCCGCTCGGCTCCCTTGTCACCGGGTGACAAGGGGAAGGGAGGTACCCGGTAGGGTGTAGTCTGCATTGTGCAGGTGGCGACGGAGAGTCTGCTGTGCAGCGGGAGCAATAGACGTGGTTGATGAATCTGATGAAGAAGTACGGGATGTCACCCTCATCTGTTGGAGTCACAGATGAGGCAAAGTGGAAGGCAGCGGTTCACGCCAAGGAGACAAAGTGTGATAGACAGTAGAGGTGGTGGAAGTCCAGTGAGCGGCCATTTTGTAACTTGTCCGTTCTGTTATGGACAATGTTCAGGACTAAAGTACTACTTGCCGATACGTCAGTACGCTATTATGGTGGCCTTAATATGCTTGCAAACGTTTATAAGCCTTAAACCCAACACTAAACGAACATGAGCAGAAAGACACTATGATTTAAGTCAGGCAGATTTAAAGAGGATTGTAGTGGGGAGTGCGCGAAGGAACTGTAAAAAACTGAGTTTCCAAGCGACGTAAAAATTATGATAAATGAAAAAAGATATCCCACTAAGGAATTCTCTACTGGCTGATGGATCACGTACAAATGGCTCCTTTAGCAGGAGCATCTGCTAGACCATTGGAGACAACACCAACACTGTTAGATCACAACAGAAATCAGCCACCTTATTTCTACTAAAGATTTAAATATATAATTTAACTGGTAAACTCTGGTTCAGAAATAGGGCTCCCATCTCAAATCCTTATCCATACCCCTTCCAAGTGCTATATAGTCGTAATTTCTTGACGTTTTCCCTTGATAATTCCCTCTCTTCCCCTTGGAAATAAGGCTACAAGCGTATGAAATAGTCTGTCAAGTAACATGGCAGATGCAAATTCGCTGTAAAGTTTCAATCATTGTTTAGGCGAACACGTGGGAGCGAATGATTGGTTATAATTTGGAGCTACCTCGTACCTACTAATAGGCCTTTTTTAGTCATTGATTTGTTGTTGTTATATACGTTCTATTGCGCCCGTAAACACTACCGTGAAACCAAGCAATATTGTTTTATATGACTCCTTGAAAGTAATCAGTATTGTATTATTCACAATATTATTATATAGTAAAATGAAGTTTCTTGAATCATTTTGTTTTTTTGCAGGAGACCTGAGCCAGACGAGCAAACAGCAGGTGTTCTGGCCCTACTTCATGCTGCTCAAGTGTCAAGACTTCCGACTGGTCCATTCCCGAACTAATCATGGACGGTGGCGGGAGGTGGTGTGGGCCCGGGAGGTCGACTGGTAGGCCCCGTCCTCCAGCGGGAGGTGGTGTGGGCCCGGGAGGTCGACTGGTAGGCCCCGTCCTCCAGCGAGAGGTGGTGTGGGCCCGGGAGGTCGACTGGTAGCCCCCGTCCTCCAGCGGGAGGTGGTGTGGGCCCGGGAGGTCGACTGGTAGCCCCCGTCCTCCAGCGGGAGGTGGTGTGGGCCCGGGAGGTCGACTGGTAGCCCCCGTCCTCCAGCGGGAGGTGGTGTGGGCCCGGGAGGTCGACTGGTAGCCCCGTCCTCCAGCGGGAGGTGGTGTGGGCCCGGGAGGTCGACTGGTAGCCCCCGTCCTCCAGCGGGAGGTGGTGTGGGCCCGGGAGGTCGACTGGTAGCCCCCGTCCTCCAGCGGGAGGTGGTGTGGGCCCGGGAGGTCGACTGGTAGCCCCCGTCCTCCAGCGGGAGGTGGTGTGGGCCCGGGAGGTCGACTGGTAGCCCCCGTCCTCCAGCGGGAGGTGGTGTGGGCCCGGGAGGTCGACTGGTAGGCCCCGTCCTCCAGCGGGAGGTGGTGTGGCCCCGAGAGGTCGACTGGTAGCCCCCGTCCTCCAGCGGGAGGTGGTGTGGGCCCGGGAGGTCAACTGGTAGCCCCCGTCCTCCAGCAGGAGGTGGTGTGGGCCCGGTAGGTCAACTGGTAGCCCCCGTCCTCCAGCAGGAGGTGGTGTGGCCCAGAGAGGTCGACTGGTAGCCCCCGTTCTCCAGCGGGAGATGGTGTGGGCCCGGGAGATCGACTGGTAGCCCCCGTCCTCCAGCAAGAGGTGGTGTGGCCCAGAGAGGTCGACTGGTAGCCCCCGTTCTCCAGCGGGAGGTGGTGTGGGCCCGGGAGGTCGACTGGTAGCCTCCGTCCTCGAGCAGGTGGTGGTGTGGGCCCGGGAGGTCGACTGGTAGCCCCCGTTCTCCAGCGGGAGGTGGTGTGGGCCCGGGAGATCGACTGGTAGCCCCCGTCCTCCAGCAAGAGGTGGTGTGGCCCAGAGAGGTCGACTGGTAGCCCCCGTTCTCCAGCGGGAGGTGGTGTGGGCCCGGGAGGTCGACTGGTAGTCCCCGTCCTCCAGCGGGAGATGGTGTGGGCCCGGGAGATCGACTGGTAGCCCCCGTCCTCCAGCAAGAGGTGGTGTGGCCCCGAGAGCTCGACTGGTAGCCCCCGTTCTCCAGCGGGAGGTGGTGTGGGCCCGGGAGGTCGACTGGTAGTCCCCGTCCTCCAGCGGGAGATGGTGTGGGCCCCGACTGGTAGCCCAGAGAGGTCGACTGGTAGCCCCCGTCCTCCAGCGGGAGGTGGTGTGGCCCCGAGAGGTCGACTGGTAGCCCCCGTTCTCCAGCGGGAGGTGGTGTGGGCCCGGGAGGTCGACTGGTAGCCTCCGTCCTCGAGCAGGTGGTGGTGTGGGCCCGGGAGGTCGACTGGTAGCCCCCGTTCTCCAGCGGGAGGTGGTGTGGGCCCGGGAGATCGACTGGTAGCCCCCGTCCTCCAGCGGGAGGTGGTGTGGCCCCGAGAGGTCGACTGGTAGCCCCCGTTCTCCAGCGGGAGGTGGTGTGGGCCCGGGAGGTCGACTGGTAGCCCCCGTCCTCGAGCAGGTGGTGGTGTGGGCCCGGGAGGTCGACTGGTAGCCCCCGTCCTCGAGCAGGTGGTGGTGTGGGCCCGGGAGGTCGACTGGTAGCCCCCGTCCTCGAGCAGGTGGTGGTGTGGGCCCCGGGAGGTCGACTGGTAGCCCCCGTCCTCGAGCAGGTGGTGGTGTGGGCCCCGGGAGGTCGACTGGTAGCCCCCGTCCTCGAGCAGGTGGTGGTGTGGGCCCCGGGAGGTCGACTGGTAGGCCCCGTCCTCGAGCAGGTGGTGGTGTGGGCCCCGGGAGGTCGACTGGTAGCCTCCGTCCTCGTGCAGGTGGTGGTGTGGGCCCCGGGAGGTCGACTGGTAGCCTCCGTCCTCCAGCGGGAGGTGGTGTGGGCCCGGAAGCAACGTCACAGAATTATCTCTGGCAGTTCGGCTTGTATTGGGATCTAAATGAAGTGTAAAGTGTGTGGACAAAGACAGAGACACACACACTCGAACACTATATCTTGGATTGTAGTAAAATTGAGTCATTTAAAGATAAATCTAAGCTCACGCTGTTTGATATGGCAACCTCTCTTATTACAAAGTTTAAAATACCTGAAATCTTTGCGCTGTATCCATATTTCACTTCCAGTAGATAAATGACATGTGAGATTAAGAAACTCAGTATTGTGAAGACTAATAATAAACAGCAGCTCCCCTATGACTGTAATGTCTCCATTGATCAAACAATTATGTATTAGCGATAAGACCTACCATTAATGTATAATGACTTACTGTAAATATATAGCTCTTGAAATAAAACATTCTCTGTAACTAGCTGACATGTAACTATATGGTGTGAAGGATAGATGAAATTGTTTATGTAATAATCTAAGATGAGGTCTGATAAAGACCTTTTGTGCCCTCTGTAATGCTTTTTGCGCTACCGCTCACAGGATGAGTATGGGATGCACAATAAACTAGTCGCCTCCGGCGGCAACAATCAAAGAATCATCTAACGTCTGTGAATAAGTTGTGTACATTTTAAAACATGAATCTTGGTGTGGTTAGCACTAGCCGCCCACAGCACATATATTGGAAAAATTGTCTTTACCGCATGGTTGAGTTTTCAAATGTCGCACTGCACCAAAAGTCTGTAGTACAGGTTCAATAATTGGACTAACAAATTTGTTTAGTTCCCGAAATTTGTATTTATTAGCATATTAGACTGCATACTAGATATTGTATCACTCACAGGAGTAATAAAGCATCTAGGTTTAATTTACTACTTTCTAATTATGCACTATGTAGTAGTAGTAATAATAATAATAATAATAATTTATTCACAAAAAGGTACAATGAGTTGGTGAAGGAAGGGAAGGGAACTATCAGGAGAGAGCGCCAAGCCATTACGACTATATAGCACTTGGAAGGGGTCAGGATTAGGATTTAGGATGGGACGGGGGAAAGGCTCAACCACTTGGACGGTCGGGGATTGAACGCCGACCTGCAAGGAGCGAGACCGTCGCTCTACCGAATGAGTTGGTGAGATTACATAAGATTGGTATTTTTACATTCTTGCAAAGCCACTAACACGCAAAGCGTTTCGGAGAGGTGTTTAATCTAACTTATCAGATAAGATGAAAGGGTACATTGTAGCAAGATTTTATGTCAACAAATAACTACAGTATAAACTGACAGAGGTGAATACACTGGTAAAGATATATGCATTAAGTACTAATATTGGGGAAGTGGATAATACAAGATACAGTGTGAGTTGAAGCACAATGTAGGAAACCATGAAGATGAAATTAGGTACTTTACTGTTACAAATTAGGTACTGTAATTACAGATAGATCCTTACAAAAGTGTAATTAGACAAGAACTTTTAGATGAATTTAAAGTAGAACAGTGCAAACTGGAGTTAGCAGATACATCAGATAGCAGATAGCAGTTCATCACAATGAAATGTGTCAAGTAAAACATGTGTATGGGGCACGTAGCAACATCAGCAGACTAACAAACGTTATCACAGATCAATAAGACTTGGCTACATGTATCTCTGGCAGTATGTCTGAAGTAAAGTGTATAGTGTGTGGACAAAGACACACACACTAGAACATTGCATTTTAGACTGTGAAAAATGTATTCATTTTAGAGATAAATCTAAACTCTCACCGCATGAAATGGCAAACCATCTTATTACAAATGATAAAAATCTTGATCATTACACTGTATCCGTGTTTCGCTTCCAGTAAATAACTGACATGAGATTAAGGAACAATCATTGCAGATTTTGTATTAGATTTTCCCCACCTGTTGATGGCTAACAGCGCAGATTATTATACCAGCTGATATCCAGCATGTCACGTCTGTTCCGTATCACTTATAACCAATATCGAATTTATATTTAATCAAATATCAATTCTGTTCTATCACAATTAATACTAAAACCGTGAACCCCTCACTGTGGAAGTGTGTCAAACTCATATTTACCTACAGTTTACATTCCGCTACTAAATACTTAACATACTTAATAGGGGACTTTATATTAATATACAGTCCACTGACGAAGGAAAATAAACCAAATTAGCCACATGATCCCACATCTTGGTAGTCATGGGTAAAATGGCCCTCACAGGCAAGTGTTTCCTCGATAAAAGCCTAACGTGTATGAATACCCTCTGGCTTCCTGTCCCCCGACACAATGAATAAATGAATGAATGATTACCAGTCTTGAGATCCCTCAACTGCAAATTTAAGGCGTCAACAACCAACTACACTAAAACTAATAACATATTTGAAATGGAGAGCCACCACACACCCGGCAGCTGTGTGGCTAAGACGTCCGTTTGTGTCACTCGCGTGAGCAACACCCATGAACCTCCAGGATGCTACGGACATCACCCAAGAAGAAGAAACCCACATGAAGAGACAATGGACAGTCCCCCGGCCATCAAGCACGACAGAAACATTGAACACAATGAAGGAAAATTATCAAGTGAGTTATTGACTGATGAAGATTAAACTACCTAAGAGGTGGCACGGGCATGAATAGCCCGTAATTTTTTAAGTGAATACTTAATGACTATATAGAATCTCTGGATTCCTGGCTGCGCCACCAGAGGGTGCAGACGTCGGGCTCTGGCTGTCAGTGGTCGTTTGCCGTTGCTGTGGGGGGGGGGGTGTGGAGCTCCCGCTGGTCGGAGCCCCACCTGCCAGTATGGACGGGGCTGGTACTAGCCGTATCAGAAGACTAGACACAGTGCGGCTGGATTTTTCCTATACCGTCCAGGATCTCATATCGTGGGCTGTCTCTGAGGACCTTCTATCAGGGGCAGACCCGGACGTGTTTCCGGTGTGGTGCTGAGGGCCACGTCGCGGCCGGTTGTGACGCTCCTCATACAGATGCCCCTTCAGTTTTCCTAGAGGATGATTTTCCTCGCTTATCTGTGCGTGTGGACTCCCCGGCGGATTCTCGCTCTGTGCTCGTGCCTGGTGTGGATCCTGCGGCGGTTCCGGCTGTCGATGCGTCTGGACCGGATGAGTCTGCCCCGCCGGTGAGCTCGAGGGACCTGGGGGCGCCTGTTTCGGACCTTCATCGTTCGATGCCTGTGGACGTGCATCCGCATCCGGTGACCTTGGGGGATGCTGTAGGGGTGGTGCCTGAGTCTCCTGCTGGGGGCCGTGTGCTTCCCGGGGCTGACGGTGCGGTGGTATGGTCGCCATCCCTGGATACCTCACGTGTGCTGACGTCTTCCCTTCCGCCTGTTGTCTCTTCCTTCTCCGACTCCGGTCTCCGTTCCTAGTGGTGGCTTTTTGCCCGCGTTGTTGAGGCTGCTGTTCTGCGTGAACGTGCTGCCCCGATTTTGGGGCCGTCTGTCGATGGTTCTTCTGGGACACCGCTTGTTGGGGGAGACAGCTTTGACGATCAGCAGGCTCTGTTTAAGCGCCGTCGCTCGGCTCGGGGTGCGTCACCTCGCCGGTCGTGGGCAGAGGAGCGGGATGAAATGGAGG